GCACCAAGTAAGGACACTTTGACTCATGACCCACCATGACATATTAACCCACGACCCATGACCCAACTGGGTAATTGGTGTATTTGTGTGAGGCGGCCAAAGCCCATTCTTGTGGCTAACGGCAGCATTGTTTGTGGACCAGATACTGCTCTGTACAATATGGCCCAGCACTCTATACTTTGCAGAGTCATTCTATACAGCCCAACGGTTAAAATATGGAGTCTCACCTAAGGTCCATATATAAGACCCTCATAGTATACAAATAATAGATTTTTATTACTTAAATATTAAATTTGGGGTGATTATTTTTGGAAAACACAAGGAAAATTATGGAAAACATGAAGGAGAGAGGTTTTTAGATTTTCCTTTTTCTTTTTCTTTTTAAGAAAAATGGAATGGACAATGCTTGGCTCCTGATATATCAGGAGCCATTCCTCCTGAATACAAGACGTAGCCTTCTTAAAAAACAACACATGTTTTTTTTTTTTTCACTGACTCTCCTCTTTTTTTTTTTTGGACAAATCCTTCTCTCTTCTCACCTGCTCTCTTCTCCTCCCCCAGCCAGGGGCGGAGCCAGAAAATTCATCAAGGAGGGTCAACCTCAAATAATAAAATCATCGCAAAATAAGATAAATTTATCTAATAATACAAAGTCTTTAGTAATAACTCATATATGTCATTTTAATACATTCACAATCGTTCATCTCTTGAAATATTTTCATAAGGGTAATGCTAGGTAGACCATCTATTTGTACCATATTTGTGTACCAACTGATGTGGCTGTTGAGTTGGCTATGCCACATCATTAAGTGAGTTTTTATATTTTTAATATTTTATTATTTTTTTCACCTTTCACTTTACAGACTCATTTAAATCATATTAAAATCATTAAAAAAAATTTAAAAAAATATGTCCGCTCTCTTCTCCTACCTCCTACAGGTATAGGGTCGAAATGTTTTGAACAATCACAAGGACACTGAGGGCAGGAACCTTTCTCCTTAAAGCTCGAGTGCAAAGATGGACGATAGTGTACCCAACCAAACACACTACCACTAAACAAAAACCAGCCTCACAGCACCATTAGTACAAAACCCATGGTTTGTCAGATGAGCCATCTATTTCCCACCAACAACAAAAAAAGACAAAACCCAACTTCGATTTGTTTGTTTCCAAATTTGCAGAACGTCCAAGATCAGATATCAAAAACCCATTTCAGGATCTGGGTTACATACTCAGAATATCAATAAAACTCAAAACTTGATTGCACTTGAATGATTTCTAGGAATGTGTGAAATAATGGCAAAAATAAATTAACAATATCCAATCAAAGATGCCCATTTCAAGATATGGGACTTATAATGAGAATCTGACAAACTCAATGACTGGTGTATGGCTGAGGGAAGGATGGGCGACAGGAGAGGGGTGGCTGAAAGGTGGGGTTGAATAGCGAGAGAGGGTTGGCTGGGTAGGAGGTAGGAGAAGAGAGCGGAGATTTTTTTTTTAAAAAAATTTTAAATAATTTTAATATGATTATAATGATCAGACCAAAAAAAAAAATGATTATATTGAGTCTGTAAAGTGAAAGGCAAAAAAATATTAAAAACTCATTTAATGATGTGGCATAGACAACTCAACAGCCACATCAGTTGGTACACAAATATGGTACAAATAGATGGTCTCCTTAGCATTACCCTTTTCATAATCACTTCATTATCAATAATATCAAATTTCAGAATTCAAATAATAAAGAAATCATATAAACATTATTGTTCTTAATTTGAGATAATAAAGAAATCATTAAAAAAGTGGTTTTGGGTTAGTAATTCTTAAGTTATTACAAAAGTAAAGTGAGGAAGAAAAAAAAAGAAAAAAAAAAGGAGAATTATAACAGCTTGTTGTGCCTCAGTCAGAAGGGTCAAATTTTAAGAATAAATTATAAACAAAGGGTAAATATAAACAAATGCAGGGTTATTTAGGGAACTTCAGATGACCCTTGTGGGCCTTCATTAGCTCCTCCTCTGCCCCCAGCTCTCTCTTCTTTCATCTCCCCATCTCTGTCTCTTCCCATGTTTTTTTTTTGTTTCACTGACTCTCCCTCTCTCTTCTCACCCACTCTCCTCTCCTCCCCCAGCTCTCTCTTCTCTCATCTCCCCATCTCTGTCTCTTCCCATGTTTTTTTTTTCTTTTTTTCTTTTTTGTTTCACTGGCTCTCCCTCCCCCAGCTCTCTCTTCTCACCCACTCTCCTCTCCTCCCCCAGCTCTCTCTTCTCTCCTCTCCTCATCTCTGTCTCTTCCCCTGCAACTCTTTAGAAGAAATTTTCAGCCCCTCTCTTCCCATCACTGCTCCTCCATCATCATCATCATCACCCAAACACTATGTATTGATTTCTCTCCTTTTTAGTTTTTAATTTTATTGAGTTATTTGTTGGGGAGTTTGGGAAATTTTGGGAATGGTGGAAGAAAGAGATGGAGAGATGAGAGATGAGAGATGAGAGGAGAGAGCACGGGAGGAGAGGAGAGGCGAGTGGGTGAGAAGAGAGAGAAAGAGAGTCGGTGAAAGAAAAAAAAGAAAAGAAAAAAAAACAAGTGCCATTTTGTAAGAGGCTACAACTTGTATTGAGGAGGAATGGCTCCTGATATATTAGGAGCCAAGCATTGTCCAAATGGAATTCAAGAATTCTTCCTTACAAGGTTGTAATTACACAAAATTCAAGTAATGAGTGGAGTGACTAGATTGGAGAACCGCAGTCGTGTCGCTCTCATACTAATCTCTAGCAGATGGGGGCTAGGGGGATGGTGCTGTTGGGTAGGATGTTTTTATTTTTAAATTTTTTTATAGGGTAATGATTTCCCCACTCCCTTTTTATTCACTTACACTTCTTTTTTAGTTATAAAATGGAGAGTAAGTGGATAAATTTGGAGTGGGGAAATCACCACTCTTTTTATATATGTTACTTTATTACTTTATATAATAGTTTTTTATTTTTACTTTTTTTAAAGGAGGCTGGTCGGTGAATTTATGAGGTGTGCCTCATAGTCTCCACATCATCAGTTAACGTCTTACTTGACGGCCAACTTAACTGATGGTGTAAATTGGTCATTTTTAATAATGTTGGGGTGTAAATTGATGAAATTGAAATTTCGTGACCTATATATAAAAAATCACTCCAAACCTCCTTGGTGTGAAATGTTTTTTTTTTTAAAGCTTTTTTTTTATATGTAATTTTATCATTTTTATATAATTGATTTTAAATTCTTATTTTTAACAGGAAGTGTGTTTAAAAAAATCAATTTTTTTTAAATGTAATTTTATCATTTTATGTAATTGATTTTAAATTCTTATTTTTTAAACGAGAATGGTCATTTAGTTTGGAGGTAGGTCCCAAAGTGGACACACCATCGTCTGACCAAACGATCAATTTGACCGAGAGAGTAAATTGGTCAAATTTTTATAACATTAAGGTATAAATTGACGAAATTGAAACCACATAGCTCATATTAAAAATGACCCTAAACATCAAGGTTAT